TTTTTTTTTTTAATAATATGTTGATTTTTATTTAGTTCCATCAGAATAAAGCAAATTTTTTAAATTCTTTCTTGAGTTTTAAAATCGTTGCCCTAAAAAAAAAAAAGATTCAAACTGGATTCCAGCATTCTTATAAAGCGATTTATTAGGTCAAATATACTTTACAGTTGTCCCTTCTTGTTATTCCCGTCTTATCTTTTCTTTTTAACCTCAATAAATCTCTCAAATGTGCCAACCAAAATGTAAAATCAGTTCCATGCAACAAATTTTACGCAACACAAAACAAACAAAAAAATAATAATAAAAAATAAACCAGAATATCTTCACCAAATGAGGACATGCACATCAGAAGGTTTTGGCCCTACAAATAAATACTTCCAAAGTATTTACAGTCACATCTCGTAGTGCACATTTCTATTTACATTATTCACAGGAGAATAAATAAATTAAAAGAAAAAGGGAAAACACGAATAATTTATCTGCGTGTGAGCAAACTCTCTCTCAGACCAAAAATAAAAATAAATGGAAAAATAAAATAAAACTGATTCCTCCGTTTTTGTTCTTCATGCGTTCAACAAATTCAATGGGACAGAAAGTCTTTGAATAATCTGTTTTCAGATGTTTCCTCTGAGCTCATGGTCTGGTCCCCTGCTCTATCTGTTGGTGCTGACTCCTCACAGCGAACCTGTTGACGTGCACGGGGATGGGGACGACGATTTTGGGGTTCCTCACGGGTTCCCCTGACCGGTTGTTGACGTTGCCGGCCTTGATCCGTTTCCACTTGGCCCTGCGGTTCTGAAACCAGATCTTCACCTGCACCTCGCTCAGTTTCAGCGCGTGCGCGATCTGCGAGCGCTCAGTCAGAGAAAGGTATTTTTTACAGTGAAACTCCTTTTCCAGTTCGAGCAGCTGCTCGCTCGTAAAAGCTGTTCGTCTCCTGCGGCTCTTCCCGGCCGAGCTCCCGGCGGGCAGCGCCTCCTGGGAGCCGGTTTTTAGTTTGCCCTTCTGGGACAGGGCCCCGCAGGTGTTCCCGTCTGAGAAACTTTCGTTCTCGCTGTCCGCGGAGCTGTCGTCCCGGTCGCTGCACGCGGTGTCCGCTGACTTTAGGTCCAGCTTCTCGTCGTCTGAACTGTAGAGCTTGGTCTCACCTAAACAAATGAAGGGGTGGGAAAAAAAAAATCACAGGTTCAAAAACTTGAGTGCAGCAGTCTGAAGAATTTGTTAGGAAAAAAAAGTCAAAAAGATGGCGTTTTTGCGTAAAAGGCCCATAAAACGCATCTGAAATTTAAGAATTTGAAAAGAAAAGTCTACTTTTATTGGGCACTTTTGTTGTTTCTCAGGATTTCATTGCCTTTGCGTATAGAATTTTGACAACTTCTTCAATCTTATTTTTTTTTCCTTTCCTTAATGTTTTTGCTGTTAAATTATTTGAAAATCTGTTTAAAATTTTAACCACTTAAGGGAAATTTATGATTTCATTTGTCCTAAATAGACTTGATGTGTTCTGACACATGTTGCATCATTTCCATTTGTGCCAACACATAAATCTGGCAGCGCTCTCGATTTTACGCATTTTACGCACAGTGCCAACTTTTTTACGCGCGAGTCTTTACCACGGAAAAGCGTGAAGTCTTAAAGAGGCTGCACTTACTTGATATTGTTTGGAAAGTTTCTGAAAAGTTGAGCAGCTCGGAGCCTTTGTCCCGGCTGTGTAGCTCGTCGGAGTGCGGACTTTCCTGTCTCCTCGCTCCAGGGTCAGCTGCGCTCAGACGGGGCCCCGGCAGCTCCTGCGGTGGGTAGAAACTGTCCGGGGGATCCGAAAAGCTCGGCATTGTCGTGGTGAGCGCGACCATGGACGGCACCCCTTGTCCCAAACTGGCACAGAACGTGTTGGTGAGTCGCCCGGCAAAGGAAGCCAGCGGCGCGAGCGGCGGGATCCCGGACGACAGAGGCGAATGGGACAGAGCTTGCGGGATAACCAGAGGTCTGTAGGGCATGAACATCGGGTAGCCCGTGTAGAGGAGGTGCCCCGGCCTGGGCTGAGGGGTTCCAATCAGGGAGTCGATTGAAAACGCAGTCCCCTGACCGCCTGGTCGTTGCATTTTCGCAGCAAAACACTTTTTTTTTTTTTAAATTCGGGAGGAAAACTTGGCACCGAATATCCTCTCCTCGCCGACGCGCAAAAGTTCACTTCAAGAAGTCTGAGTGGACTGAAAGTAGATCCTGTGGTGTTGTGTCATCGCTGGGAGCGGAGACTCCTTTTTGTTGCCCGGATCTCTGCTTTGTTGTGTCCCTTTCCTCTCTTATTCGTCACGCGCACTGAGACATAAACACACGCTCGCGATCTATCTACCTCTCCGCGGCTCCTCCCTCGCGACGCACGGTGTGAGTGAGCGCGCGCAGGAACAGAGGCCGGGAGCGCATTGGTTATCGTCTACAATACAAGAGGACTAAAAAAAAAAAAAGAAAAAAGAAAGAGGGGGGGTGGGTGGGGGGTGTTCCCTGGGGGCTCATCCATCTTCCTCAAATTACGCTTCATTTCCTTATTCAGCCTCTGACTTTTTGGCCGTCTTGAGAGGCAGTAGTTTCCCAGTGGAGACCAAATAGACGAGTCGCACCCACAGCCGCCCCCCCCCCCCCCCCCCGGCACCCCCTCCCCTTCCTCCTCTCCAGGTTTCGACCATTGACTGCGGAAAGCGGTGTGAGAGACTGCTCCAGCCCTTCCCCTTCTATAATCGTTGACCACACCAACCCAATCAGCTATTATTAATTTTGATTGATGATAAGTAATTACTCTGGATTCAAGGGGACAGCGTAAAAACAACGGCGGGCCTCTTTTTGTTGGGGTGGGGGGGATCTCTGGGGAGGGGATGGGGGGAGGCGACCCGGGCATCAGAGAATCAGGAGGGGAGGAGAGGCAGATGTTTCACCGCTCGCTGTCCTTATTCTCCGCCGGCTGAAAAACAAAAAGGCGCGCGGGCTCCAGGAGAAAAGAAGTGCCGCAACAATTGTTCCCTGGAGAGACATACTCGGGGCCAAATTAGAGCCAAATAAAAGACACTTATGCGAGGTCAACTGCAATGTGTGGACACGGGCAAAGTCAAATATGGGCTTTAAATGTTTTTATCCATGCTCTGTTTTAACCTTTAATGAACCATTTCTCTATTTTTTAATTAATTTATTTATTTTTTATCCTTGCAAAGTAATTTGTCTGTAAAAAAAAGAAAGAAAGAAAGAAAGAAAAAGATCCACGTGAAGAATAAAGAGGGAGAAAAGAAATCACTCCTCTCTTTTCTTTGAGCACTGTTAATCGCAGATCATCTCAGCCTTTAAATGACAGTGGAAAGTGATGATGATTGGCCCTATTGAGTCCTGGGTGCGCGCGCTCTCCAGCCGCTCGTCTGATTGCACGAGGACATAAACAGATCACCACCGACTCTGATTAGCTGTGGAGGGCCAGGCCGGGCTAATTCTTATAATTGCATCTGACTTCATTCAGCAGCACCTCTTTTTGATCTATCCAACCCCCCCCCCCCCCCCCCACTCCCACCCCACTCCCCCCCAATCCTGTCTTTTCCCGGTGTTCCACAACTCACGTGCGCACTTTATTTTTATTTTTATTATGAACGATTTTTGGCCTCTTTTAAACAAAATAATTGAATCTACTTTGTTACAAATAAGAAGCAAATTTTATATTTCCTGAAGGAAAAAATTGCCAAGTTCCAGTTCATTTTTTAAAAATTATTTATTAGAGATTTTATTGTTTGCTCAGTTGTTCATCAAAATGAGAAAACATTAAAAAAAACAACAACAAAAAAAAACATTATGTTTGGACATATAAACTTCTTTTGGGGAAATAATTGTTTTACCATGAATAAAAAAAAAACCTCCTGATATATGTGAAAAAAATATCTAAACTTTTTTTACAGGATAGTTTATTGCAATATAAGTATTTTATTTAACAACAACAATGCTTTAGGCTTAAAATAGGATTTTCCTGTTGTTTTTATAACACCCCCCTGCCTCTTAATATCAAATGTAAAAATGGTAAAAGTAATATACAAATATTAAATGATGAAAAATGAGCCATTTAAATTGCTTAAATTATTTATGTAAAAATTTATTCAAACAAATATTTGAACTAAATCTTTTAATTACAACATTTTTGTGAGAATAACTATTTTTAATAACATTAAACGGAATATTTTAGAAACTTGAGTGCTTTAACTTCAACCAATGACAATTATTGTGCAAAACATACAAGCAACTTATTCTATTTAAGTGTAATTGCAAAAGTAAAATATAATTATAATAATAAAAAAAACAAAATTATAAAACATAAAAAAGCTTATCCATTATTTCCTGTCAGTTCTAGACTATAGCGCCCTCTGGTGGTAAAGAATCATAATTTAAGCGCTGAAAAGATCCGGATTAAAAGACAGAAAACCAGCAGCAGGCCTCGTTCCCTCCTGAAAAACGCACGTGTGGCAGGATACACTTTCAAAGTAAACCTTTTTGTCAGCAAAACTTGTTCCAGTCTGAAGCATTAAAAACTCAAATCCAATAAATAAAAAAATAAAAAAAGTCACTGGTGTTAAAAAAAAAAAAGTGGTTTCAGTGGATATATCCTCTGCACTCCAGGAGAAGGTAGTTCTTAATGAAGGAGGGCAAATTCAGCTTTGGGACCACTTTGTGTACTCGACCCTCCAGGATGGTCCTGAGTCTGCAGCGTGCCAAGTGCTGCAGGGAACGAGGAGTCCTGGCCAGAGAGAAGATGGACTCAAAGAAGTCTCTGTTCTCCTGATGGGATTGAAACAAAACATAAAGTGATTAAAACTCTCAGGTTTCACAGTTAGGCTATTCTAAAACAATATTAATTTACCTTTAGCTCTTTAAAAATATAAAATCTAACCGTCACTCACAACCAGACATTGGATTTTCTGTTCTTAATTAGTCTAATCTGAATGTATCATGCATGAAAATTCTCACTAATACTTTTATATATATATATATATAT